ACTGTTATTATAATTCCTCAACTATTTTCACCAAGGAAACCATATTTCCCTAATGTGAATTCTACTTCTCCTAATCTTTCACAATAAAAATAATTGATTCAACATACATAGATGGTTCTGAAGAATTATCATTGAATTTTCAAAAATTCACTGTAGCAATATAAAAGGAGAGACTTATAATAACATTATTGACAATAGTATTTAGTATTCCCCATGTAATAATAATTCCCTAAATATTTTCACCAAGTAAACCATATTTCCCTAACATAAATTCTCCTTCTCCTAATCTATCACTACACCCACACCCATGCAACTCCAAACCAAGCCCAACAACCTATTAAAACTTCAAAAGCGACACCTCCCGTCACCGAACCCGCTCCCGCACGAAGTTTCAAACTCATCGCCTATAAACGCGATAAAAGGTAAACGCAGAGTGGAAACCGTCAACAAAAAAATGAAAAAAAAAAAAAACACGCGCCAGTAGCCTGGCTCGTTTCCCCGCAGACTGCGCTCAGGAAATGATAATATGTCGCACAAGCTCAAGGTTATCGCGCGACGTTCGCCAGCGGTGGCACAGCTCGATAGCAAAGACGCGCCACATTTCGTCGCGAATACTCGCCGCGATTGCGTTGCGTATCGAGCACTAACCTAACTGCTGGCGCTGGCGTAATCACCGAGCTGCGAGTAGAGACAAAGATGAGGTCGTGGCTGCTGCTGTCGGCGCTGGTGGTCCTGGCGATGGACCAGGTGGACGCGAGGATCCTGAGCGAGTGCGAGGCGGTGCACGAGCTCCAGCGAGCCGGAGTCTCCAGGACCTACATAAGCACTTGGGTCTGCTTGATGCAGAGCGAGAGCGGGATGAACACCCAGCTGGTCACAGGTCCGAAGACAGCATCCAGCTACAGCTTCGGCGTCTTCCAGATCAACAGCTTGAAATGGTGCTCCAGAGGACACTCCGGTGGGCTCTGCAACAAACGCTGCGAGGACTTCGCCAACGACGACATACAGGACGACATCGTCTGCGCCAGGATGATCATGGAACGCGAGGGATTCAAGTCCTGGCCTGGATGGCAGAAGAACTGCAAGAACAAACCGCTGCCGAACATCTCCAAATGCAAGCGACGATAACCAACGCGACACGTGTCGGGAAACGTGTGTTCACCGGAGACAACAGGTGCGCGACTGTTGAGCGACTCTGTCGGACGCTTTGATTTCCTGTATTCGAAGCGAAGAGTCCAGGAGAATCAACGGTTGGTTTAGTTGATTCGAATAGAGGAAACAGAGAGGAGAATCCAAGGGAATCGCTCAACAGTTGTCTCTGATGAATGCGTACGATGATTCTCGTTGCGTCAGCTCGGGGTTGCTGAACTATCGGGCGTTGGTAATTGCTGTGCTTTACGACAGGTGTGACGCGCGACACGCTGGCGTGACGTGACGAGAGTGCGTGGCGCGAAAAAATGACGAGGGGCGTCTTGAAAGTTTCTTTTATGGAAGTTATTAACGCGTGTGTGTAGAAGCTGTGTGTAGAAGAATGGAAACGAGAATGGAATTATGCGAACAACCAAATGATAAAGGCAAAAGTAGAAATATATATATAATTTAAAGACAATTGTCATCTCATATGTCATATCATATATATATATATATATATATATGAGATGACAATTGTCTTTAAATTATATATATATAATTTAAAGAAAATTGTGTATCTGTACAGATATATCATTTTATATTATGTTTATATATAATGTATAAATATGTATAAATATTTATAGTTGTATATTATACTTTTACATATGTGTACATATTTATGTACATATGTATTATACATTATATTATATAGAATGTGTAACTAATGTATACATAACTACTTTTAAACATGCATTTATTGTGGCTTCTAACTGATAATAATAATCGAGACATATGTGTACGTTGGTGTATCTATTTTTATGTGCATTTGAATATGCAACTGAAAAATATTCTATATAAAATTTCCTATGCGCAATGCGAACGGACGTTTAGTATTATTTCCATTATTCTATTACTAGTATTATTATTCATGAAAAGTAATGATTGTACAGATTGTACTCTAGAGACTGAAAAAAGGCTCAACTTTGATAATTGATTTTGAGAGGTTTATTTGGCACATATTGAATTATGAACAAAAATGTTTGTAGTATAATTTTAGGTACAATACAACAATTTTTCTTCACACTTCAATATGTGTTAAATAAACTCTATAAAAATAAATCCTATTCCTTTTCCGATGCTCTCAAAATTAATTATCAAAGTTAGGTCTCTTTCTAAAGTGCTGCTACTGCTTAACATGATATAATGAACAAGAGATTCATACTGTTCAATGTTTACGGTTATTATAATTGAATTTTCCACGCTCCGAGAAATTTACTAAGTCCTTTAAGCGATTCAAGAATAAGTCCAGCTAAAAATAAATCAATAACTAGAGGTAACTGTCATCCTAGACAATATAACTCTGTCAAGAGGGAATTTCTATTGTGCTCCTGTCGGGAAACACTGGAATAACACACGACGGACATTACGAGGAGTCCATCGTTGGTTCATTGTCGCGGTAATGTCTACATCGCTTATAAGTGGCGCCAAGTAACGTCGCCGCTGTAATAACTCTCGTGTCGTGTTTCTTTGCCGGTGTGGAACAGGTAATTACTGTATGTTGAAATAGTTTAGTCGAGTGCTTCTCGAGACTCTTTGTTATCAGATAAAATCACGATGCGCGAATGGAAACTCAAACACTGTCGGAGATTATGGCGAGATTATTTTGATAACAGTAGCAGAGAGCAACATCGAACTTAATGATGCGATTAGAAGTAATTGTTTAAGTGTAAAGAAAGATAAACAGAACTCACACTTGATTCTCCAATAAACATAAAATAAAAAAACAGAGTTTTTCATCTTTGTTAATTCATCACCGATTCGTTATTTTACTGTACATGTGTTACAAAAATTATATTAATATTAGGGTAAACCAAAAGTTCATGAGTTTTTTTTTACATTGTTTTAGTTTGTGCAATTTTTTCCGGTTATTAAAATTAATTTATATGCGAGTGTTATATATCATTTTGTAGCTTCTAAAAAGCTCTTTCATATGTAATTATCAGCTACATTAATTTATTGATCGTTTAATTATTTTTCGTTTTAGTAAAGTCATGGAAAATTTTGCTATTCGAGCCTTTTTACGTCAATCGTGATTTTATCTGATAACACAGAGTTCCGAGAAGCACTTGAATAAACTATTTCAAAATACAGTCAACAAATATGAAAAAGCTCTTCAAAGGCTACAAAATGATATACAACACTCGCATATAAATTAATTTTAACGACTTCGAAAAATTAAGTCAATTAATCAAATTTGAAAAAACCTGTAATTCGTAAACATTAATTTATCGATGTCTCGCTTGGAGTAACAAATCCGTAGATAGTTTACAGGTGATTAAAAAATCGGCTGGCTCCGAGCCAACGATGATACAACCGATTCCAGTTACCATAAGCAGGTCGTTTTACTTTGCAGCCCAGAATCGATCGAAATAGTAAAATCGTTTAGAAATGCTGAATTAGAATTACAAAACCGAGCGTGACAGAACTGCGCGAGTTCCTTCCCGATTTCGTTTTCTGTCCAGGAAAAGTGTCACGAGCGTTCGCTTTTTCAAAAATGATCATTATTCCAGGCGAGATCCAGCGATTTGCATACCGATCAGCGAAGAATCTAGCGCCGTCGAATTTTTGCACGAAATGTTGTTGCGGCTGAACGATCAGGGTCGAGAGGCGTAAAAACCGGGTATTGCGTAATCCACGCGTCGAAATGTCAAGTACACGTTATTATCGAGGTACAAGTCAACGTGGAGGTCCAGCAAACGTGTTCTCACGCGATAAGACGAGTCGCGAAGCAACGCTTTCTTGAACGATCGCCTCGGCCCGCTCATCTTTCCGCGTTTCTCTTTTTCTCCTTAAAATCGATCGTTATCACGTGTTCGAGCGTTTTCACGGTACGCCTAGGGAAGGTGACAGTGAGCGTGCAAAACATTGCGCAACCGATCGATAGATCCTCGTGATCGATGTATCTCGAATCGCAAGGAAAGTGCAAGAATTCTTCCTCGCACAAAGAATGCTAAAAATTGAATT